GGCGTGCACGTCCATGCAGAGACCTGCTCTGGTGTGGCGTGTAAATTTGTGCAGCCTCCTGTACATCTTTATGGGAGGACACGGCTGCATGCCAACCTGAACCTGTATGTCCTCCCATAGGGATATCTGTAAAGAGTAAGTCAAGGCAACTGGACTTGCTGTATTTTTCTTAAAGGCGTTTCATTGGTCATCCGATCAGCTTTCTCAATTTAAGGAGATGTACAGGTGGCTGAACGCAATTCTACACCATCGCTGTCTCTCTCGGGAGCCGCTCTCTGCCCAGGCGTGCATACCATAGGCATGTGAATGAGCCATTACTATGAAACATGTTTAAAGGAGAACTATGGGGTCAGTGTTTTTCCCCATAGTTCTCCTTGGGGTAACGGGAGGACACAAACTAGCGTCCTCCCGTTACCCTAAGCTCAGTATACCGCGAGCTACAGCTCGCTGTATAATGAGACACCGCACCTGGAGCGGATCCCGACTTAGATGACGGGATCCGCCCAGCTGCGTGAGTGACAGCTGGCTCTGCCTATCTAGAGGCAGAGCCAGCTGTACCCGCCCCCTCCCCCGTCCGTTCCGCCAGTCAGCGCTGGCGGATCGGAGCGGGGAGAGGGGAATCCAGCCCCTCCCCCTTTCACGGCAGAGAGCCGTGACAGGATCGAGAGGTGAGGGAACCCGGTATGTGTTCGCTCACCTCCCGATCTACTGAGCCGACCTGTGACAGTCTCATTGTCACAGGTCGGCTTAGAACTATGAGGTGAGTGGAAATCACTCATGTCATAGTTCTCCTTTAAGGTACTAGGAGCTGGAGGGGGAGGAGTTTAGGGAGCTTCCAGAGGGAACAGATAGGACCCCCAGCAGCGTAATGCTACTCTTTCATAGCGGGACAAGCCGACTGCAATGGGCAAGCAAGCTGCAATGGTGGTGGTAGCCCTGCAGAGTGTGCCAGCCATGAGATTGGCTCAACTGAATTCAAAACCACTGACAGGTTAAAAAAAAAGTTCTAATAGATCTATTTCAACCAGTGACAAGGCCCTTCATCACCCGAGCCAAGAAGGCCAAAGGGCACCTCACCCATAAGACGTGAACTACTTGAGCCGCATAGGTTGCAAGTCCTGACCTTTCTGCACCCCCCATGCTGAAGTGCCCAAGGTGGCTGCCTATTTGGCCTATCCCTCCACAGATCGGTCATATAGAGCTTGGAGTTCTTCTGTGTGGTGTATCAGCAGCCAGTTTTCACAATACAATGCACATTTGTTTGCAGGAAAGCAGATTCTCCATAAAGGATAGGTACAAATTTATTTAGAAATAAGTTAGACACTGTTGCTAAGCATATATCATCTGTCCACCGAACACATTCAATGTTATGTATGCTCTTTCATTAGAAAG